CCACTAAAAATGGGGGAGTTTTAACCAAACCTGGAGAGTTTCTTTCTTTTTTTTTAAATTAATTTATGTATTTGACAGAGAGAGACACGGCGAGAGAGGGAACACAAGCAGGGGGAGTGGGAGAGGGAGAAGCAGGCTTCCCGCTGAGCAGGGAGCCCGATGCGGGGCTCGATTCTAGGACCCTGGGATCATGACCTGAGCTGAAGGCAGACACTTAACAACTGAGGCCCCCAGACGCCCCTGGAGAGTTTCTTTAACCAGAAGAGAAGCTTAGTTTTCCTGACTCCAAATTTTATCAGGCCCAGTATCTCCCATCATGGCCCAGTAGCACACAGGAGATGAGGGTAGAGCCACGTTGTTACCGCTGAATTCTTTGTACTGTAATTAACCTTTGTTTAGCATTATTCAGGTGTTTTTTTTCTTTAAAAAAACTTGTTTAAGTAACCTTAATAATAGTACTATCTAAAATAGATGTTGTCTTAGTCTTGTATCAAATGAGATGAAAGTCAAATCTGTAAAATGTTGAATCTCCTAAATCTAGCCAGGATGGAATATATCCTGTTAATTTGTCAAACTTCGAGAGAACCGCCTACCTGAGACAGTAAGGATTAATCAAGCCCTAGTAAGAGGGAATTTGAAAAATACAGTTTTCTAATTATTCAATCTCTTCTCAGTGGTCCAAGGTTAATGCAGTTCTGAATTCTGACAGTTAGTAATAGAAAAGAAAAAAAAAAAAGACCAAAGCATATGAATTGTCTTATAATTACCTGAAACAGAGGCTCTCCTTCTGGCAATCAAGAACTTTATAAGCATTGATCTGATGTTTTCAGCATTTGATTATTTTCCTTTTAAACAGTGGTGAGAATAATTGAAAGGTTTTGTGTCAGTCTTTGTGCTTATCAAATATACCTGTAGTATTTGGAGATTTCTTTTGCTTATTGCTTAGTCATAGACGCATAATTCCAGGTAGGTAGTTGGCAAATGTGTCTTTTTGGGGGACAATTTAGCTATCTTATGAATACTTCCTAGGGACTGTATATGTTTGGGATACCCGGTCCTGTTCCTACTACAAATATAAAGATTGTGTGCATCTCAAGGTCATGAATGGAACCCCTCCTCGTTGGTTGGTGTTTGCTCTCATATATTTGTAGCTCTTGTAGTTCTTCCCGGGTGACACAATAAAAATGCTAGCACTAGAAAAAGATGAATTTATTCTTTCATTTGTTGCTGTCAGATAACTATGGAGTATTTATCAGAGAGAGAAAAGTCACAGGGAAGCCTCAGACCATCCAAAACCAAGGCCTGAGGAGAAGATGGGACACTGGGTCTGACTAAATCGACCTGCTCCTGGAGAATCGACAAATGCATGAATACTCAGTGACTACAGGAGAAAAATGGAAGAGCAGGATCGAACCTTGGAAAATGACCTGAAAAGCGAGAGAAAGAAAAGGACCCACAGAAAAGTAGGAGACTCCACAGGGCCTGGTGCCTGAGAGGGTTTCGAGTGGAGAGCTGTCACTAACCGAGGGCCTGCTGGGCAGGCGAATCCAGAGATTGCACCCAGAGAGGCAGTGGGTTTGGGTGAAGATAAGGCCATCCAGGCCATCCAGGGGTGTATGTGAGAGCTAGCTCATACCAGCTCACCTGAGCAGAGCCGCTTCTCTCTTCCCAACTCTGGGTCATGCCAGGACCTGGAAATTGGCCACGTGGGAGTAGTCACCCCACGGTGACTGAAACTGGCAGATTCTACAAATCAGGGCCTTTTTTTTTGTTTTTTTCCGGTGGTTGTAAATATTAATAACATATTACAGAGTCAACAGGTTTCCGTAGTCACACACTTTAAAAAAAAAAAAGATTGACTTATTTATTTTGAGAGAGAGAGAATGAGAGAGAGCGCACAGGCGGGGAGGGGCAGAGGGAGAGGGAGTCTTAAGCAGACTCCACGCTGAGTGTGGAGCCCCATATGGGGCTGGATCCCACGACCCTGAGATCACGATCTGAGCCAAAACCAAGAGTCGGAGGCTTAATTGACTGAGCCTCTCAGGCGCCCCTGTAGTTACACACTTTTTACATGGCGACCCAGCAAAGTTCACACCTGACACACACACACACACACACACCCTCAGATAGTTTTTAGAAACAGCACTTAACCTTTGCCATGTGGGACGCATTCTGATCTCTTCTGTTTTCATCCATTTCATTGAAAAGGGGGGAAAGCTGTTTGTAACTCACTAAACTGATTTCTTGACCTACAGTTTGGAAAGTATCGGTTTAGCAAAAACTAGAGGTTGTATATGCGTGACGAAGTCAAGAGATGATTATTTAAAAAATAAGTCTTGCAGTTGTAGGCAGGACAATTTCATCTCAAAAGGAAGAAGGAAAGAGATCTGAAATGCTGAGAAGATGGCCTCTTGAGAGTGGAGACCAAGGACACACAGAATGGAGAGAACCTGAGTTGGGGGGGGCTGGTGCCCCCCTGGGGAAGCTGGGCCAAAGCTTCCACTTGCCCTTGGCCTTGGGAGAGAAGGCTCATGATTTGCTGTCGAGAGCCTGTCTTGGAGAAGATCCCGCTGTTCTAGAGGAAGGAGGGAGGAAACTGGACGCACAATAGGAAAAAGCTAGAAATCAGATTACTTGGTATTTCAAAACTCACGTTTATGTTGTCAGCTGGAAATGCACTTTCTCAAGAGTCTCTTCTTCCTGCCCACCCAAAGGACACGCCTTGTCAAGGGTCACACAGCCTTAAGTGCCAACTGGGCTTTGAATACACTGTTTGTTAATTAATTGAATTTAAATGAAAAAATAAAGATCAAAGTAAAACTTAAAACTTAAAAAAAAAAAAAGAGCCTCCTGCGTGCCCGACATTCAGTTGTTCATACAGCCCAGTAGACCTCATGTTTCTAACAAGAAGCTTTGTATTTTTCTTCTCATGATTTTGTAGCTAAGAGAAAGGAATTCTGTTGATGACCCCAAGTATTATTTCTATCAGCCACCCTTTATATGGGGATATTGGATGCAGCTCAAGAGAATCTGTTTCATGTGGTAATTTTCATTAATGAATCCAGACCATACAATGTTCAGTTTTATCCCCAAACTGCCTCAGATGAATAGGAATACGGTTGCAGTCAATGTGACCGTTTTTTAGAGATTCAAAAGAAGATGGTTATTAACAGTGTTTCTGCACAGACTCAGAAACTCTGTAGTTCTGAAGATTAATACGAACACCATCCAAAAATATTTATTAGATGGGAAAGCATCTGCTTGCTGTTTGAATTTAAGAGGACTTTTTGTATTTCCCAACGTCACCATCAATGATTGGAATCTGCATCTCCTCCTTTATTCATTCAATAAATATTTAACACCCATTATGTTCCTGGCATCGCATTAGACTCTGGGGGAATTGGAAAGAACCTCGAAGACCGGTCTCTGCCCTCAAGGGGGGAAATAAAAGAAACAATTACATCTAATTGTTTTTTTTTTTTTTTTTTAACACTGAGCAGTGTTAATCCCCGCTTGGGAACATCTTGGTCACCAGGGAAGTAGATGGGGCTGAAGGGGCCTCTCTGAGGCCAACGTCCTCAAAGCCACTGAGCCAGGGAGCCTTTCTTCTCTCTCCTCTCGTCCCGTCCCCGGGAGAGTGGCTCAGGTCCCTTTGTGGCCGGCTGGCGGGGGATTAATCTCCAATGGGCTGTGATCTTAAAAAAGGCTCATTGACTAAGTGAGTAGTCAGGGCTAAAATGTCCAAGAGCTCTGAGTGTAGGCTACTCTTCATTTAAGGCTCCCATGCTCCCAGAAGAAGGTGTTCAGTGCAGAAGGTTGGTGAGTTGGAGAGGGTAGGGGGTGGGGGCCCCCTTGAGGGCCCCCATATTTATAATTCCGGCAGTTTTGTGTGATTTGGACCATGGCCAGATTGTCATTAATTTGTTCAACAAACATTTACTTTAGCACTTGTGTGCTTAGTATGTGTTAGGTCTCCTAGGAGTTACCAGGGGATTCTGCAACGAAGTGTTTCTGCAAGGCGCCTGCACGTTAGAGTCAGGCGGGGAGTCTCTTAATCCCAGGGCGCATCCCAGATGAGTGCAGACGGGTTTGCAAATCACTGCCCCAGGGAGATGATAATAGAGTTTTAGCAACACACCCAGAAATTTAAATAACAGTATTAGAGCAATAGGGTGACCTCACAGCGCAGGTAGGGGATTCTCAACTCAATCAGGGGGTTAGAACTACTTCCTGGAGAGGAGGAGCGCCCTTGTGGGTTAGGTGGTGGGACACCTCGCCAACGCCTGGGAAGACGGCGGGGCTTACAGGTTTGGGGGAGAAGAGAGGAAGGTGCTCTCTTTAACTCTGAATTCAGGCAGGTCTGCGAATGACCTGGGATCACTGTTTGGGGACTGTTGGTGGAATGGGCCCTGATAGCAAGAACTTGACTTTTCATTAAGTGGATGAAGGCTTTTCTAACGTAAGTCAAACCACTGGTTATCTGCCAGCATCCTTCTCGCGTGTATGGGGGCTGAGAGCGGTGAGGTGAAGGAAATCCGTCGGGATAGAAATGCTCAGCTTCACTTCCTGATTCTCTTGCTCTTAAAATTGCACCCTGCCCTCTTCACTGTCACAGCAAACAAATATCCCTGCATGTGCGTATCAACACACAAATGAGCCATTTTGTGTGCGCAGTCCCATACCCCAGGGTCTTGTGGAGCCGTGAGCTATTGCTGTGCTGAGGGTGGATGAAGATACTTGACCTTGGCCTCTCCTGGCTGCTCGAGGCGCTTACAGACCCAAGGCCGCAGCCGCGAACGGTTTCGCTGCTAATCGGCAACCTGTCGGACCACGTGGCCCTCATTTGGTATTCTCAGTACTTTCCGTTTCTAATCAATTTTTAGGAATTCGAGTCTCTTATATGTTTTTTCAAAGGGGCGAGTGGAATGCTTTAGCAGCGTTAGTAAATTCCTCATGAGTCGCGATGAAAGTTTTTCTTTCCTTGTCTTTCAAACCCACAGTGTGCCACGCCGAGCTGAATGCCATCATGAACAAAAACTCAGCCGATGTGAAAGGCTGCACTATGTATGTCGCCTTGTTCCCCTGTAATGAATGTGCGAAGCTCATCATCCAGGCAGGTAGGAGCTGGGCCTGTTCTATTTGTCACATTTGCATTGTTGCCTGCTCATCAGCAGCTCATTGCAGAAGCGCTTGATCTGAAATTGCTATTGTTTAGATCTAAATTAATTGCACTATCAACTTTGCAAGGTATTTCCTGTGTTTTGTTTTTGAATGGTGCCAGGTATTCTAAGACTAATTGCATCCTCTGTGATTCTTAGCATGTTTTTAATTTAGTTTGCAACTTCTTAAACTGCAAGCTGCCAAAAAACAACACAGGCATTGCATATAATTACTGCCAATTTACTGTTCTCTGACATGTTGTGCATAGGTTAGGGGGAGGGAGAGAAATGAACTTCTGTCAGAAGCGGGGTCAGCTGGGAGTCTGTATATGAAATTTTAATTTGTATTAATATATGGTAGATGTTTTAGGACCTAAACATATCTTTGCATATAAATGTCATCAGACTCGAATGGTACTACTGTTAAGTTTTCCTTACATTACAGTTGCCATAAATCTACACCATTGTATTCTGAATATTTCACCTTTTTCATACTGTCACATCTGAGATTCAGCTACACTCTGTCGCCATAAAACTCTCAGCTTGAGATTTAAAGACTTACCATGTTAGCCAGATGCGTGGTTTAAAGGGGCTGTTTATCATGAGCCCATGGTCTCTGAGAAGAGGTCCGGTGGTATCAGAATCAGAGGCCGGCCTTCGGTAAAGAATGTCGTGGGCTCCCTCCCTGGTGGTGTGTGACCCTCCGGGAGTTTTCCTTACCCAGCACGTAGTCCCTTTGGAGGCAGGGAGGTGTCTCAAATGCCCCCCAGACTCTTGACCCTCCAGTTAGCACTGCCCTGGGGGGCAGGAAAAGAAAACGGATCTGCTGTTGGTGGAGCTGGCTGGAATCAGTTCTTGGAGCCATTTTTGGAAGCATGGTGGCACTTCCCCCGCACCACCCTCCCCCTCCACCCCCTGAAACCGTCAGCCTCTTGTGTTAAGAGTAGTCGCCTTGTGAATAAAGAAATTTGATTGCCCACAGTAAAGAAAATTTGTTAATCGGATCAAGGCTTGACTACTTGACATGTTTTCACTTTGCATTTGTTAAAAAAAAAATCCATAAAGACTGGAGGGCAGATTAAATACAATCCATTGTCTGCTGTATTGCAACGGGGCAGATGTGTATTTCAGTAAGTGGACGTTGTGGGCAAGCCCCCCCCCCCTGAAAGGTGATTCATCACGGATACGGGGCTCCGTCTGCCCCTGCGTGTCTGTCGCAGTAGCTCTATGTGTATATACTAAGGAGGCTTCTTCTGTTGTTGCCTTTGAAGGTATAAAAGAAGTTATTTTCATATCTGATAAATACCATGATAGTGATGAGATGACGGCCGCGAGGCGCCTGTTTGATATGGCTGGGGTGGCCTTCAGGTAAGTGGGAAGAGCTTGGGGGAAAGGGGGTGGAAGGCCGAATGAAGAAACCTATTTGTTTAATTTCTACTTGTGATGCCTGACATCCACACTCGGAAGCATCTTTTTAAATGCGATGGGCTGAGGATCTCAAGATGATGTGGGGGGTGGATTTTTAAGAGCAGTGCAGAAGTATCTGAAGACAGTCGGACTGATGATCCTGCACTTAAATATTAGGAGCTTTCTGGGGCTTGGACTAAATTACCCTAGTACCGAGACATTGTAAAAATCACAAGTTTTGTAATATTAACATTAAACCTTTGTAAATTTTGCAAATGTAACAATTCTGGCATCGAAAATTTAGGATGAAAGTAACTTGCTAGGTTGAAACACCAGGAATTCTTCTGACAGCAGCATTTTAAATTGAGATTTGAAGTCATTCTGACTTTTATGATTATCTGTGCTAGGCAAAGATTGGGAGGTATGCTTTACTTGTAGGCAGGTTCAACCACCTTCGATTCATGGTGGAAACTTCAATTTGGGACTGAAAGCTTTCAAAGCAATTCCTTTACAGCATCTGTGGTCAGCAGTGGGGTTCTGTAATTAGTAATGTACCTAACCCCTTGTGTTCATCACTGGGGATAGAGGTTATACGTAATGAATCTCTTTAACTGTTGTGCCTTATGAGACTTTAAATCCAGATTATTTACATAATAATAATAATTAGATATTAACTGTTTACTGGTTTTTAAAAGAATACGATTAGTCCCCAAATATTTTCCTTTGAACTGCTTTAGAAGGTACACTAATGAGTAAAACTACATGGTGGGTTTATTTTACATCTGCATTTTTAGAATGGGACTTTAAAAATTACTCCTCACTAAAGCTAGTTGGTTGCTTTTTTTTTTTTTTTTTTGCTGTGTGTACAAGAGGCAAAAGAAAATTTACCCTTTTTTGCTTTCAGGTGATTCCAAGTTGGCTGCAGAAATTTCCTAGGAAGGAGGATAAATCTATTGGGAAAACTAGTAATCGGGTGTCATGTTGTGCAGCTAACTTGTTAGAAATCCTTTGACTCCCTGAATTCATGAACTCAGCTGCTGGAGAACATACAGACCGAGCCACCCCATGCATCTTTTTTTTGTCTTAGTCTTTTCTGGTTCGTGTTCCTCTCGGTATGGTGCACTATAATTGGCTCCTATAGAGATATCAAGTGAATCCCCGGAAATTTTTTTCCTCCCCCACAGAAAATGTAGGTTAAGCCAAAGTAAACAAATTGCTTTAACTACTCGCTGGATAATATCTTGATATATTTTGTTTCTTGTGTTTAGGAAATTCACACCAAAGTGCAGCACGATTATCATTGACTTTGATTCAATTAACAACAAACCGAGCCAGAAGCTTCAGTGAGTTACATCTCATTACATCTCCAAAAGATTGGGATTATCCTCTTCTAAGAAGCTGCTAATGCCTTTCATCTTGAAGTTACACATAACTTTTTAATAGCCAGTCCAGCAAAAGTAGACATCTAAAGAATGTAAAGCCTCAAATCTTCCCGACTGTCTCTCTTGTCACATGGAATGTGCATCTGTTTAAACTGTTGATTTAGGGTTTAAAATCAAGGAGCCTGTAGATGGCCCGTCGCTCAGGGCTGGCGTGGGGTGCCTCCCCCTGTGTCTCCTGGTTTGCTGGGACGCTGGTGGCGTGAGACGGTCGCTCCTCGCTGCTAAAGTGCTGGAAGGACAAATAAATAATTGTTGTTGTGTTCCTGGCAGGATGAACAGATGCACTGATTTGAACATCTGGCCCAAATGAAGCATAACGTGTAGTGCCCTTGGGAAAAAAAAATAGAACCCCCATGACAGGTGCGAATGCAGACGTATTGGCTTTAGGACGTGGAGGGAAACCGCCACCCACCCACCCGAGAATCCTAGACAGGATGGCACAGCTCTCCTGAGGAATGATGAGCACAGCTGAGCCCGGCGCATATTCTCTGCTTCTGCTGTCCTGCTGCCCACAGGGGTGGTGGCACGTTCTGCTTCCGGAAGTGGGGACCCCTGTTGGTTTGTGCCCCACGCGGAGCTCTTACGTTACTTTATCTGAATAATGAGTTGTTCCCGGCAGAGACAGCCTGTCTTCCCTTGTCGCCCCCAAGACCATGGCTGCTGGGGCAGCAGGGTCATGTGGATGGAGATGGCGCGTGCACCTGCCCCTTCTACCACGTGGAAGAGTTGCTGCTCCTCCGCGTGCCCACATGGTGCACGTCCAAGGCTGCTCAAGCAGGGAGTCGATTAATTCCTACCCTGGAAGTGAGATGTGAGAAGTTCAGCCTGCCTCGCGGTGGTTTATTCCAGGTCTGTTGGTCATGGGAGCTCATCTGTGCTCCTGGCACTGTGTCTTCAGCAGCACAGAGCTCGCCTTCGCAGTCACTGCGGCTCGGGGATGTGGCTTGGTGCGCCTCGTCTTTAATCTCCCTTAATTTTTATTAAACGTGCTCAGTAGCTTTGTTGAGAAAATGGGTTCTTTATCCTAAAGATTATTACCGTTCTCAAGTGCTCTTATGTTTTCATGAGTTTTTATTTTGTCTCTGAGGTTTTGTACTCCATATTCTAGGGCGTTTTGTAATTTGGCTCCTTACCAATCTTATTAAAATGTTATTAAAATCTATCACACAGAAGTATGTTCAGTTTTTATGTTTTCATTGTATGCTTAGCTCTCTGTTTCTGTCATTTCTGTATGGTCTGTGGAACACATCGCATATGTTTTCATGCTCAGAGAACAGTTTGAGGGATGGGTGCTGGGTGCTTTCCCCGGGGTTGATGGGCGATGCGTCTTTATGGACCGGGTTGGAAGGTGTTAAGGAAGTCTCACGTGCGGGCCATCTGATGGGTCATCCCGGCCCTCTGATGGGCCCTAGGCTTCCCCTGCCTGTGACACTTCTGTCGCCTTATTCTCTTTCTAAATCTCTCTCTCTTTTTTTTTTTGGCTCTCTTCTCTGCCCCCAGCCACTTGTCCCCAGCTCTAAAATACATAAAACAAAAGGTACATAGAAGAAAGAAATCAGTAAAGATACTTAAAGATAGAAAATATGTGAGATTTTTATGTGGCTGCACAGTACGAGTCATGAGCCCTGTTGCAAGGAGTGTGTAATTTTTATGTCACATTCGTAAGTATGTCTAGGGGCAAATAAGCCAGAAGTGCATCTAATTTAGTTCATGTTGGTACTATCTTACATTGTGTCTCATTGGTTACATGGAATTTTAGTGGGAAAAAAGGGTTATTTTTTTTCCCCATTGGGAGATGTTTAACAAGGACAGATCCTTGCTCAGAAAGAAGTACATCCACCAACAGTCTGTGGTTGGGTTGTTTATGGGGTGGTGATTCTCTCGGTGTGGGTCGATAAGTCTTCCACACACAGAACGGTTGCTGAACTTGATTTCCTGGTGACAGGAGTGTAAGTAATTATGTCTTGGTTTCTGGTATCACTGCAGGAGTGGTGGGAATCTTCCTGTCCAGAGAATTCTGCAGATGTCAGTGTTCCAGTTAATAGAGGTGTGCTTTGAACTGTTGCCTTTGGGAAAAGCATTCCAGAAGGAAGGAGTTTTGAGCAGTCTTCTGCCTTGCAGGCATTACTAGATAATTGTGGCAACTCTATCTGAGAATAGTGTTGCTACCTGTCACAGCTGATAAATGACAATAAGGAAACCATCTTTCACCGAACTGTTGGCAGGAGAACTACATTTAAAAGGCAAAATTTGTGAGTGAAATGATAGGAACTCCCATTTCCCTGACACATTTCATGCTTTTCTTCTTCTTCTTTTTTTTTTTTTTTACAAGTCTGTCCTTAAAGACTTCTGAAGCCCAACAAAACCCATGTATTAGCCATCTTTTCCTATACTACAAATGAAGAAAATAAAGGAACAAGCGTATCAAGAAAAATTGAGAAGAGCTTGAATAAAAATGTAGACTTGGATAACCAGTGATCTAAACTTCCCATGGGCCAGGAATAATTTCTGATCTTCTGATGTCCATACCCACTTGAGGATTAAAATTATTTAGGTCGAAGAATGGATTGTTGCAGAAGGACCCAAGGATGCAGAGGAGGTAGTTCTCCTTTATTTGTGACACCGGTAAGAAGTTTTAATATTCATAGTTCAGTTGTTTCTGTTCTTTAAAGTAAGGCCACTTAAAAAAATGGTGGTTTCAGCAAGTCATGGACCAGGAGGCCTTGCCTAAGACTCAGTGGGAGGACCGGAGCTCCAGCGGCCAGTGAGTCCTGATGAGCTGAATTACAGATCACCATTGGCAGAGGCAGGCACAATATTCCTGGGCCCAGGGCTTTTTGGATCCAGGATCACACTTACAGGAAAAAGCTTGTCACATTTAGACCAATTGATGGGTGCCCATGAATTCTGAAAAGACCTAGAGCTAGCCCAATTTTTCCTTCATAACTGTTGGAGGGGAATAAAGCCATTTCACCATGAGAGTATATGCATCTCCAAATAGTTATTGAATGTCTGCTGTGCATCAGGTGGATTTTCTGGTGGTTCCTAGTTTTCAGTTAAAGTGACCTCAATGGCTAGTTAATAGAATTGTTCATTTGATGAAGCTCAACTTTGCCAACTTTTTTTTTTCTTGGTCTGATAATTGGATTCATCATTACTTTCTGACTTACCAAAATGGCACCTCTAGAAGAAAACAGTATTTGAGCTCATTTTTATTTTGAGTAATAAAGTAGTTCTACACCCTAATCCACCAAAGACTATTTTGATTAGAAATTAAGAGTTGATATAAGGAGTAAATCCTTAAGCAGTGATTGAAAAAAAATGTGTCTCCTAAACAAGTTTTCTTATCAATGTGTCTTTAATTACCACTGACCCTGTTCCCAGACGGTAACTTCCACATTGAAATATTTCTCATAATGAGCCTTACAACTGACATTTTCTACACCTTGTCACAATATACATAATCTGAAGAATACAGAACTCTCTTGATTTTTTCATGTAATGATGAGAAACAAATGCTGACCTGACATACATTCACATACAATTTTTTCCTCTCTCATTTAACTCAACATATTGGTGAATCCAAAGGAACTGCTATCATCACTTGGTGGAATATACTGTATTAGTATTTCCAAAGTTTGTTCCAACCCATTTCTTCTTACATACTCTAAACATCCTCATTATGTTGTTTGATGAGATGGATCCACAAGAAGACAGAGAGGTGCCCAAGGTCAGTCCAACTTCCAGCCAGTCAGGTTTGTCATGTGGTGGTTCTCAAACACAGGACTTTGCCCTCATTGAGGAGCGGCTCAGGAGCCTGGCCAGGCCAGCAGCCCCACCAGGTGCAACGATGCAGATGGCGCCATCTTGCCGAGCTGGCTCTGGCTACCTCTTTGCTAAGCTAGAGAAAACGCTGTCCATGTTCCTGTGCACTTTCTCTGGGGTTGAGTTGTCTACCTTTAGTGTCCACATCCTCTGAGTAAGGCCAGTGGGAAACGGACAGTGGGCAGAAGTGAGTGTCTGCAGGTGTCCGGCTCTTACTCCATTTCCAAGGTCAGAGATTTTAAAAAAGATTTTTAGAGGTCTTTTCTTAAATTGAGTTCAGTATTTCCAAAGAAAATGGGGAGAGGGATTCTCTATACCACCTGCTCACCACTCAGTTGTGAAATTCCTAGGAGGAGCCCATGGGGCTCACAGGCCTGGAGCCTAGGAAAAGGTGCTGCCCCTGTTTGTTGTAGCCACCTGCTAAATCTCTTCTCTCCCACCCTGCGCTCCCTGAACCCCAGTCTATACCTTCTCTTGCCTGCTGCTATTCTCTCTCTCTGTTTTTTTGTTTTGTTTTGTTTTTTTAAGATTTTATTTCTTTATTTGACAGACAGCGAGCACAAGTAGGCCGAGCGGCAGGCAGAGGGAGAGAGAGAAGCAGGCTCTCCACTGAGCAGGGAGCCTGATGCGGGGCTCGATCCCAGGACCCTGGGATCACGACCTGAGCCAAAGGCAGATGCTTAACCAACTGAGCCACCCAGGCACCCCACTCTCTCTCTGTTTTTAAATATACTTTTTAATGTGGTATAATGCACGTAAACATTACCATCTTCAGTGGTATTAAGTACATTCATATCTTGCAACCGTCACCACCATCCATCTCCAGAATTCGTTTCATCTTGCAACACTGAAGTTCTGTCCCCATTAGGAGCTAACCCCCATCCCCCCTTCCTCTCAGCACCTGGCAACCATCATTCTGCTTTCTGTCTCTGAATTCAACTACCTTAAGTACATCATAAAAGTGGAATCATATAGAATTTTCTCTTTGTGACTGGCTTATTTCACTTAGCCGGTAATGCCTCCAGGGTTCATCCACGTTGTAGCATGTGCCAGAACTTTCCTTTTGAAGGCTGAGTAATATTCCACTGTATATCATATTTGGTTTATCCATTCATTTGTTGGTGGACACTTGGATTTCTTCCAGCGTTTGGCCACATTTTCTCTTGAATGTCACAGTGTTTCTTTACAACCTGGCATCATCCACTTGGGCCCCCGAGTGCCTCCCCTTCCTACACTAGTCACCTAAACATCCTGGATGGAGGAGTTTATGTATATATATGTATATGTATATATATGTGTATATGTGTGTATATGTATGTGCATGTATATGTGTATATACGTACATTTAAAAAAAAAAAAAACCAAAACAGCCTT